GAACTCTGGCGGGTGCCGGAAAGGCGGTGCAAGCCTGAGCCCACCCGGGCCCCCCTCGGGCCCCCTTCCTTCCCGCCGGCACCCGCCTCGGCCTGACCAGGCTTCCCTCCCCCCCGCCCCGTGAGAACTGAGGACCGGACTCACTCGAGGTTTCCTGGAAGCAGAGCAAAAACACTCTTGTCCGTGTCGCATCTCATTTCGCCCCCGTCCCCCCGTGCACGGTTCAATGGTAGCTTCGCAGCCCCCTCAGCGGGGGCCTCGAAGACTCCCTGACCCCAGACCTCTGGCCCAGTCCCTCCCCGAAGCCACTGGAAGGAGCACATACTACCTAGAAGCAAGAAGAGGAGCCTGAGAAGAAAACAAAGTTCTATTTTATTAATTTTCTATGTGTTGTGTTTGTAGTCTTGTCTTAGCTCTGGACGTGAAATACTTCCGTAATAATATTAATATTATTAATAATGATGATGATGATGATAATAATAAAGACATAAAAACTCGCCGCTTGGTCACCTCTGCTCTTGCCGGCCACGCCCCCACCCCCGCGGCTACCCCGCGGCCCCTGGGCCGGAAACTCCGCCGCACCGGCTGCAGCGCCCGCCGCGGGCCCCCGGGGCCTGGCTGGACTCGGAAGTTACAGTTGAGATAAAGGCTGGAGCCTCCAGCGCTGCGCCTCGCCTCGCCGGTGCTGGGGCTCCGAACGGCCTCTCTCGGTGCAGACTTGGGGGACCCAGAAGGGCCGTTTCCCTCGTATTCTGCAGCATTCCCCGTTTGCCCGTGGCAGGAGGGACGCCACCCAGGCCCCCTAGCCCCAGCTCCTGTAGACACTGAGCCAGGAGGGTCTCGCGCCCCGAGCAGCGCTTTTTGGTCCTCCGAGGCCGTGGCCTTTGGCCTGCCCACATGGCCCGATCCCTGCTGGCCTTGGACCTCAGGCTCTTGGCTTGTGGCTCCGGAGACCGACCAAATCAGGGTCGTGCTATATCTCTCCCCCCGCAGCTGAAAGCTCCAGGCGCCTTTTCCTGCCTTAAGTAGGAGTTCAGTGACAGGAGGGGGATGCGAAGCCACGGGCAGGCCAGGCGCAGGCGGAAGGGCACGACTTTCTCCTCCTTGGGAAACCTGAGAGCAGGGGGCCAGGTTAGGGGCAGGCTAGTCTGCTCTCATCCAATCTACCCCAAACGACCCATTCTCTCTTATCCCCACCCGCGCCCAGGCGGCAAGCTGTGGACGCTGTTTTCCTTTCTTCCTCCTCCCTCTCTCTCCCTTTTTTTATTTTTAAAGAAAATAGCCTATCGGCAGAAGGGGCCCAGCTGCGGCTTGTCTCTGGCCGCCCAGCGGGCTCAGCAAGGCGCTGCCGGTCCTTGGAACCTCTTCCCGGGGAAGGCATGGGCCGGCCGCGGGGCACATTCAGAAAGTACCCAGACGCTAGCGAGGGGCCTCCACAGGCCATAGCAGGCATCTGGTGCGGAGGCGAAAGGCTCCTGCCTGCTCCCGAACTCTGAAAACCTCGTTTCCACCGAGACCCCAGTCGCCCGATGCGGTTGCCGCCTCCGTTTTTCCCTGACAACTAGGCCGTTTAGCCTCAGCCAGGCTCCTCCTCGGGGTCCCTGTCCGGCTCTGCCGTTCCCCAGGCTGGGCTAAGGGTGGGAAGGAGGTGGAGAAGAGGATTCCCAACTTCTAAGGGACACAGGAGAAGCGAAAGTTTTTCCTTCCAACACTCGGCCCAGCCCTGCCTGCTCGGCCTGAGGGCTGTGGATGGGCCACTGCAGCCCCGTAGGAAGCAGGCCAGGCCGGGCTGGTGTGTGAGGGTGTGGGTATTCCGTGTCAGTAATTGTTTTCCACACCCATCTTCCAACCCTCTCTCCTATTTCCGCGCCCTACCCGGAGACTTGCAAAAACCAGAGTAAGGGAAAAGCAACTCAATGAATGTCTGATCATCTCATCCAGAGTTAAAATAATAATGACAGAGCGAAGAACACAACTAGAGAGAAATAACCACACTCCCAGGAAAGTGAGTAAAGGCTCGAAAGGGTCCCTCCTCTCAAAGACTCAACCCTGCGGGTGACCCTAGGCCGGGTTTCTTTCCCGCCTGACAGTTTTCGGGGAGCCAGCAGGGAGGCAGCCAGCCTACGCCGCCATGGCGGTCTGCGGCCGGCGCTCCCGCCGATCGCCGGGAGGTGGCGCGCTCTGCTCAGAGGCCGCTGCCAACCTTCTCCCGGCGTCTCCCCCTTCTCCTTGTTTCCCCCTCTCTCGGAGGCTCGCATTGAATCGGCCCTAACGATTCTCGGATCGTCATTATTTGTAACCATAGAGCATGAATTACCTCTCGAGGTCATCAGTGAGAATTTACGACTGGTCAACAAAAGCACGTGATTCCCTAACGCCCCCCCATCCCCCTTCCAACCTCCCCCCCCCCATATTTGGCCGCATACATAGCAAAACGAAGTACAGTGCATCGCTATAATTCATTAATACATCATAAATCGTGAAGCACAGGGTTATAACGACCACGATCCACAAATCAAGCCCTCCAAAATCACCCAAATGAGCTCCTACTTTGTAAACTCCTTCTCGGGGCGTTATCCAAATGGCCCGGACTATCAGTTGCTAAATTATGGCAGTGGCAGCTCTCTGAGCGGCTCTTACAGGGATCCCGCTGCCATGCACACGGCTCTTACGGCTACATTACAATGGGATGACTCAGCGTCAAC